AAGAAAAGATTGGATCGTGTCGTTGAATGTCTTCTGTAGGACAGGTTGGGAGACAGCTTCGGGGTGGTGGTTGCCGCTAAACCATACAACCTCGGTGGTTTGAACGGAGTTCATAATAGCAGTATGACGTGTGATCCAGATCCGGTGCTCHTGGAGGCAGGCCATGAGAGAACGTTTAAAGTTCCAGATAATACGGTCAGTAGAATCAGGGGTCATGGACCGTTGGAGCCATAAGGTGAGGCGTACTCAATTATCCGTAGAGTTGATCGAGTATTCGAACTCACGTTTCAACTTGTTGATGGAACAAGGACCAGCGTAGGAGGCTGCATTAAGACGAATGGAACGGCCACTGCCTACCAACATATACAGAGTGGCGAGAGATTCATTCGCTGTCAGCAGCTTGTGCAAGAGCGGAGCAATGGGATGCTCAATGGGCTGTGTCTGGGAGGGCTCGTGGGTAACKGTCGGAGTATCAATACCATGAGGAAGATCGCAGGGGGGAAGGCGCCATGTGAGACGCAGAGGAACAAGCGTGTGCGGTTGTACACCAGGAGTAGGAGAGGCAGACATGAAGCTGTTGTCAGAGTTCCGTGGTCCAGGAGGAGGACAAGATTGCCGTTCAGCCGGGAGTGCAGGGTTCTTGGACAGGGATGCAAGTGTTGGAATCGCAGTGGGTGGTGTAGTAGTGGATGTACTGGGGGTACTGGTACCTGTAACAGTAGTAGCCGCTGTAGTACGGGTAGTGGTAGACTCTGTACTGGAGAAGGATACCTTGGATTTACGGTGTTTAGAAGGAGTGATTGCATCTGAAGATCTTTTGCCTTGCTTAGGAGTAACCTGAATCCAAGCTGCATTGGACGTAGGCAAGGGAGATGCTGTATGGGAAAATCCAGTAGAAATTGCCTTGTAATTCGTTGCTGAGATCTCATTCTCGTGTAACTCATCTGGACACCCTTTCGAACGTCCTGGGGTAGAATCAGTACCAGGATCAGGGACAGAGGAAGGGGTTGAAGTATAAACAGCATGTGAATCGGTATTTAATTGGGTCTGTGGGGTTAAAGACGGGGTATTTAAAGACAGATCCTTGGTATTTAACCCTTGGGCCTGCTTAGAAACAGAAAAACAGCCTTTTGGGCCAGGGATATGCCCCTGGGGGGGGGGGCTGCGGGCCCGAAGCCGATGCTCTTTTGGCATATGATCCAGGGGCAATCATAGCAGGGTCTTCCTGATCATTAAGTAATGAACAGGGATGTTTCGCTGGGTCTGGGAGGGATAGTTCCATAGGGTTCTCGCCTGGGATTTCAACAGGGGGCTCATTCGAAGGTGGGTTCTCTGAATTGGGCGCTTGTAAAGTACACTTATTCGAAGGTGGGTTCTCTAAATCGGGCKCTTGTAAAGTACACTTCGAAGGTKGGTTCTCTGAATCGGGCGCTTGTAAAGTACATAGTTCTACTGGGTTCTTTGGAGCCGGCGATTGTAAAGTACACTTAAGAGACTGTTTCTTTGGGCCCAATGATATTTCACCAGAAGTATCAATAGGGACTGATGAATTTGCGAACGCCCATGGGGGAGGGGTTCCAGCAATTGAAGAGTCATCCGAAGACTCATCCAGAGACTTAAGGGGGTCATTCGCTGGTGGGTTCTCTGAATCGGGCGCTTGTAAGACACACTTAGGGGGAGGTTGTTTTGGGCCTGTTGATACTTTGGATTTATCAAAAGGGACTATAGCTTCACTTAATGCTTTCACCTCGGATTTATCACTGACTAAAGGATCACTTAGAGCGCCCACTTGTGGTGCTGGATCATTTAAGGAGTCTGCTTTCGGTGCTGGATCGATTAGGGTACCGACTTGATCAGTTAACATAGGTGCGGGAGACATGCTCTTTTGAGACTGATCTGGTTCCTCCTCGGTAAGCTTTGTTGTCTTTTTCTTTTTCCTTTGGTGAAGGATGCTGCTGGTTTCGCCGGAAGATGAGGATGAGGACCCCCATGCTATACACTTTATGGGGGAGTTCTGCAAGTTATACATGAAAGCTGCTTGAAAATTGCCAAATGGAGGAACTGAAGATTCATCCGGAGACTTTGCATCCGGAGATGATTCCTCAGACATCGATGCATCCGAAGACTCCTCATCCGGAGCCTCATCCGGAGACTCCTCATCCGGAGCCTCATCTGGATACTCMTCAGCCGGAGACTCATCCGGAGGCAATTCCTCCAGAGATGATGGCTCCGGAGACATCGATTGATCCTCTGTAGGAGACATCGATGCATCGTTGTCCGGGGACATCGATCCAGCTGAAGGTGTCGGTGTTGTCGTGTGATTATTTTTATTTTTATTTGCTTTTTCTTTGTTGATGGTGGTCCGTGAAGTTGTATAGTAGGCTTTATATGAATGTGCATGAGTGGAGGGACATGTAATAGTGATTGATGTAGGTTTGGGGAACCCGGGGCCTCTAGAGAGCCTACGCTGGAGTCGAGAGGCACAGGTTTTGAGGACTGTTCTGGGGGACTTCTTTGGAATCATAGCTCGGTCTTCCACCACTTCGACCGATGAGGAGKCAGGGCTGTCTAGGAGGTCCCAAGCCGATTTAGTATCCTGTCCTTTTAGTGGGTCTGCGGTGGCCGGTGTAACCTTGGTTGAGTCCGTGGCCGTGTCCGTGGCCTTGTAAAGTGGAAGGACCGGGGCTATTTCCAGCCTGATGACCTTCGAACCATGCTTTTTGAAAGGCTTTTTGGATCCTTGTGGGGATAGATCAGTGTCCTGGGTTGGATTCTGGTCCTTTGTACTACCAGGACTCCGGGGATCGGGATCAGTGGGGACTACGTGATCGGTGGGGATGGCGGGATCGGTGGGAACGGCGAGATCGGGGGGGACCACTTCCATCGAAGTGATCTTGGATCCGGAGTCGGCGAAAATAGGAGTACTGGGCTTCTTGAAAGGAGCTGAAGTCTTCTGGAAAGGAGCTGGGAGCTCCTTGAAAGGCTTGGAGTATCCCTTAAGGGATGGGGGAKCCTTAGTTGGATCCGGAGGGTCCTTGTTACCCTCTGGGTTGGGCTCGGTCATGGTCGGTTGTTGTTCCTGAGAGTTCGAAGGTGCAAGTCTGAGTTGTGTTGTGTGGGATGTAGTACTAATTCTAGGTATAATTTTCAATAGAGAATCGTATCTTCGTGCGAAGATGAAAAACTGCGTTTGCGAAAATTCGTTTTGAAAATTATAATCTTCGAATAATTCTAATCTTATTTCAACTTTCATACACACTTAAAATACCTACTAAGAGTACACGTAATCTCGTACATTATTCTCTCCAAAAAATCGAAATGAAAAGTGCGATACGATTCAATTACTCTTAGTCCTGTGAGTCGTACTACTATTCGTTCTCACCGAAAACAGAAGATAGGTTATGAGTCAACTACGGAAACTGGAAATCATGTTTTCGCAACCACTTATTTTGTTGCTCATTTTTTGTTTGATTTCTTTCATTCCGACACCGACTCCTGTTTTGGTCCTCCGCACGAAGACAGTTGACGTGGATTTAGAATCTCAAGGTATGGTACGTATCCTCCTCGACAACTACTACGTACAATGTAACTTACCTTACTTCGTACAAGCCTTTTTTTTTTCTTCATGCCATAATTATTTTTTGATTAACTTTTTTGGTACGTGTGTATAGGTCTCATTTCCTTTCAATTCCGACAGAATCTTGTCGAAGTATAACAGGAGCAACATCAATCAATATCATATCATGGACGAAGAGAAAGCCATCAAGGCAGCCAAAAAGTTTCTGAAAAAGAATGAATCAGGTTCCATGAAACTGAAGGACTTGGCCAGATTGGTTGCTGAGAAATTGGGAGACAAGGAAAATTACAAAAATGCGAAGAAAGTCATCACGAAGAGCGATAAATTTTCCTTAGAAGGAAAACTTGTTTCGTTGACGAAGAAAACGAAGATTGATGCTTCTGAATTAGATTCCGCCGCCCCCGCCTTCAAAAGGCCAAAAACTGAGTGGGGTATGTCGTCAGAGAAATTGCCATCTTCGATCGAAAAATGGAGAAAAGACAACTTAATTGTTTTGAAACATTCTAAGGATGACGAAGAAGGAAAAGAGGAAACCAAAAAAATCAACGCGAATAAGCCTTACAATCCGTGCTCGAGTTTCGATGAGTGCAAGGCTATAATCAAGGATTCTCTTATTCGACAATGTACAGAAGCTAATGGATTCACAAAACCTTCTCCAATTCAAGCCCAAGCATGGCCAATTTTGATGCACCAAAAACGAGACATAGTAGGAATCGCTGAGACTGGTAGTGGAAAGACCCTCGCATTCGGCATCCCGGCTCTTTCTTGCATGGCAAAGAACCCCGTTGTGTCAAAGAGACGCTTGCCACGTATGCTTGTGTTGTCTCCTACCCGTGAATTGGCGATGCAAGTAGAAGTCGTTCTCAAAGAGTATGGCGCCGTTGTAGGAATGAGATCATTGTGTCTCTATGGAGGTGTCCCCAAATATATGCAAACAAGTGAACTGAGGAAKGGAAACATCGACATTGTTGTAGCGACGCCGGGGCGGCTGAAGGATTTGATCAACGAGGGAACATGTGATCTAAGCAAAGTTGACCACTTGGTCCTTGATGAGGCAGACAGAATGCTTGATATGGGATTTGAAGGTTAGTTGGTTCTCTCTGTTTTTTTCCTGTTCGAACACAATTTCTTTCCGTTGTAACTTTTGTCATGCATGGAAGCGTCCTCATGTACCGTACTTCACACAATACTGCAGAGGATGTCAAATACATCATATCAACTTGCAGGTCCAAAGACGATGGGAGACAGACAGCGATGTTTTCTGCGACATGGCCAGCAATCATTCAGGAGATCGCAATGAATTACATGAATGATCCTGTGCGGCTCTATGTCGGTTTTGAAGGCATTGTAGGAAGTAATGGAGAAAATTGCATCGATGATTCGCTTTCGGCGAACAAGCGAGTGACCCAAACCATCGAAGTTATCGAAGACCGACCTCGAGAAAACCGACTTAGGGAGATCTTGCGAAACAATAGGAGCAAGAAAAGAATTCTTGTTTTCGCCCTCTACAAAAAAGAGGCAGAACGTATGGAATACCAATTGCAACGCGATGGTTTCAGCGTTTGTTCGATTCATGGAAACAAGCACCAGGCTGCTCGAACTCAGGCCTTGGCTGACTTTAAGCAAGGCAATAGCCAGATAATGGTTGCCACAGATGTTGCTGCGAGAGGATTGGACATTCCCGACGTTGAGTTGGTGGTAAACTACACTTTCCCTCTGACTATTGAGGATTATGTTCATCGAATTGGTCGTACAGGACGTGCTGGAAAGAAGGGTTTGAGTATCACCTTTTTCCAACCCTCAGATAAATCTCATGCCGGGGCACTTCAACAAGTTATGAAACAGGCGGGTCAGGAGCCACCGGAGCCCCTGATGAAGTTTGGAAGTACCATCAAGAAAAAGGAGCACAAGCTCTACGGAAACTTTGGGCCACGGGGAGGTGCTCCCATGAAGAAACCAACCAGGATTGTCTTCGACTAGACCTCATCTCGTTGATTCGTCATTCTATCAACTCTATAACTTTTTCGTAACTCGCGTTGCCAAATGTTGCCACCCGCAGAATTTAGGGGGGGGGGGGGGTTCTTTGCTACTACTACTCCACTACTCCTTCATTTATTACATTCCTCTCATTATGATAAGAATAAAAAAAAATCTTCATATTATATTTAACCTTGTGAACTAGAAGAGGCACTATATGGCCAGAACCAGAGCCTCTCTGGACTAGGGAGAAGAATGCTCCTAGCTGCACCAAGGGGCGGCACCTCCCTCTGAGGAGATTTTGTGGAGGCGCAACCAAGTTTTATGCACACTGACATGCCAATTAAGGCAGGTCGCTGGACTCAGAGGACATAAAACCAGTTGGTTCACATTTTGGATGGATGGGAACCATGCCATTATCATTTCAAAGGGCACTGCCAAGCATGTTGGTTGAGGTTGCCCAGTCCCAACCTGTAGGCAAGCCTTCACACGCAGTGATCGAGGAAATGTGTGCCAAGCACACTGCCAAGCCAATTAAGGCACGTCTCACCCCAGTGAGCAAGGACACATGTAGTCAAAAAGAAAAAAAACAAAAAAAAGAAAAGTCAAAAAGAAAAAAGGAAATGTCACAATTCTTTCACCAAATTACAGCTGATCCCATCCAAAGAAGCAGCTGTTTGAGCATCTTCTTGAAGAAGAAACTGGAAATAAATCAACTAGTTCTGTCACCGCTAATCACAGGGTTAAACACTTGGGGGTGTTGCTGTTTCTGTCCACCACATAAGACAGGAACAACAACAATTGTGACCAGAAGCACTGGGGCTTCCAGTCCTTGAGAACTGGGGATGGATCCAGCTGAGGCAACTGCACTCAACTGAGGGGAGTTGGTACTGGGGTTGGTGTTATTCCTCGCTGACACAACAACAACAACAACAACAACAACAACAACAACAACAACAACAACAAC